TGGGGCGAATGGAGACAATAAAGTGTCGAAATTGCATAAAGGGCCATTCATCAGTCCTTGTGTTTGCTAAGTCATCGATACTGTCCATTAGGCTGCTAAGCGAGCCCTTCCTCGCGTCACAATTCGGCACACCAGAGGGACCTGACACTTGTTGTACAACCGTCCTCTAGACGAAAGGCAACCCGTTCAAGATGATCACAAAAAATATGCATTATCGTCCTTAAATCCATCATATTGTATGGGATTGTATCTCAGTTATAGATATCCAGGTGAGAGTAGGCGGCTACCTCTCCTTACCGAACAGCGCCCAAAGCCTCCCACACGTTTGCGACAGTTTCCAATAGTGCCGCAAATCATTCCTTCACATCAACTGACCGTTCGGCCCAATCCCAAACCAAGCCCTACACACTACCCCTCCGTGACGGAGTGAACTCCGTGGAGTGACACGTAAACTCCGGGTTACCATGGTACCTACTAGGGTCACGGGATGACCTCGGTGTGATTAACCAGTATAAGGAGAGAAAAACTCCGCACAACTGGAAATGTCAGGTTGATGATTGACCTCAAGGTGAAAACGAACCTAATGGTAACCTAAATCGAGATTCTGATTTTCCGACGAACTCTATACGACTAAAATAAGTGGTTACATCCAAACTCGAGGTGCCCAAGATATCGAGATAACCTGTAAAAAACTGTAATCTACATCGAAGACTGTATTTTTACGAAAGTACCCACATACCGTCCTGTGTAAAGGCCAGGATGATAAGTCCGAAGCAGTCTCGTCGTACAACTATATATATAGTCTTTTTCGGGTCCACACTAAATAATACTACAGTATAAAACGTCAGCAACCCAGTGAGTTCCGGATTACTCTGTCAACCAATGAGCCGGTAGTAGACGACAAGAACGACAACTAGTCCCGTTTACAGGTAGTATAACATTTAATAACAATTCTAAACGGTATGTCTTTATTAGTTTTGCTTCCTATAAACTCAATTGACTTGGGAATTTAATTCAAAGAGTGTGGACTAAATTTGTAATTATTTTTACTGTAAGGGTCCTTGTTTACCTGTATAGAAGGGAAGATTTTCGCCAATTTATTATTATAAAAAAGAGTTTCATGTACCTATTTGGATAGGTCAACTACACTTTCAGTCTAAGTTATATCTACAAAAAATAAAATTTCCTTTAAGTCTAACTTGTACCACTTTTTTGACATTTAATAATCACAGGCAGGTTTCTATACAACATGAATATCACTTTTTTTTTTGAGATTGGAACCACTACCCAATCATCTGATTTTTCGATCCTTAGGTTCATGTTGTATATTATTCATGGGACATAGTTCTAACTACGTTTTGTTCACTATAAAGTGGAAAAATCTGTCTAACTCGTTTTCTTTTGGAGAAGACCCCCGGGTAAACCCACCTAAAAAGTATAGAGACGCGAGGGGGACGACTCTAAAACTGTACACTGTAGAGAAGATTGGCCAGTCTCGGTTACCTTAGGGCTCCTCTTGAGGGTGTATCAGGGAATAACCAGTACACACCACACAATCCGACGACGTAACGGTTCTGGCCTTCGTCGTCGGTGTAGACCACGATGGAATCGTTCCGATTGTTAAACCGAGACGCTAGAAAATGTCTTTTACCCTTAAATCCTAATATTATTAAGTTTATAACGGGTCTTTGAAATAGTTGGATACCTAATTGGCTAAGTCGCGCAAAAAAGAGCCAAATTAACGGTAACTTGTGCAATAAAACTAGTCTAATTGTCGATGCCACTCTGCGTAGAGGGATCTTCGATGCATTTCCATGCAGCAAACTACAGAACAGAAACGAAGGGGACCAGCGGTTCAAGCCTAGTGAGTCACCACTACTACTGATATATGGATTTATAGACACCTTGGAGTCGAAAACTTAGCCTATAGATACATACACGTCGATGCTATTCATTATTCCCATGAAAATAGACTCAAGACACGGTTACAGCAATCGTAAAAAGCGATTTCCCCAGTAAATCTACGAAGAATACTCTGAACAAAAAACAAATCATTCTTACCAAATATAGCAGTCATCGACTCTAATAAAGGCAATTAGACCATTTTGTGTAATTATCCAAGAATTTATAATTCTAGGGACTCTGTGTCACAGGACTTTTTGTTTTTTTTGTCCCAGGTGGCGGCCGCCTGGAACCCGAATTGTCCAATTTTCGTAGATGATATAAGTTTTGTTTTGGTTTATACAATATAACCAGCCAATATATTGTAGCTGACAGCTTAATTGTTGATAAATCGTTGATTAGTAACGGACATTACATGAATACACATATAAACTGGGTGATTAGAGGTAAAGGTCGTAATTGTAATTAGGAGAAGACACCTAGACAAAAGGACGAGGAGAGTTCTAATAGTGACGTATTGTTTTTTTAGGTTATTAGATGCAATCTTAATTAATTAAATGTTTCTCATGACAATTTCCGATTCCAGGATATTAATTCAACAGGTAAACCCCTATACAAAACTAATAAATCGCTGTCCAAACTGGAACCACCATATGGCTACTATTTAGTGATATTGGTGAGTTTGCCATTGGGTCAACGTTGTTTGTTCGATAATAGGTGTACCACAGTTTATGGTATTAAAAGTAAGTAATAATTTGAATTGCCTTTTATTTTGGTAATGTCGTAAAACTCAATCTAGTACATAGGATCTCTCATTCCCAAAATAATAAAAATCGATTTGTGTATAATGAGTACAATAGGTTTTTAAGTACGAATGTGATAACACCATATAGGAAGGGACAGGGACCCCCCCCCCCTGGTGTGTGTGTCTGTCACCGTATTGTACCTGAGGTGATCGTGTGTGCGTGTGAATGTTTCTGGCACTTCTTTTATAAAAAAAAATGGTTGTTACACCTTAAATAACCGATGTATAATGTGTCTAATGACGTACCGACGTTCGTCGATATTGGTATTTTATTTATTAATTTTATGGGTGTTTGTACTATAAATCTATGTATATGTCTAATAACTACTAAAGTCGTCTAAATCGCAAAACATCCTCCTCTTGTTTAAAGGCCTATGCAAAAAAACGCGGTACAGTCAATGAACACAACAACACGCAGTGAAATTTTCATCGGCTGATTTTTTGATTGTTTTTTTGAAAACAGGTCTAGAAAAAATAAAAAGAAGGGGACTTCGTTTTATTAACTAGTATATCAAAATTTAATAGTAAACTTATTATTATATAGTATAATATTTTAATATTAGAGTCCTGTCACTTTTTTATTTATATATTTTTATTTTACACGTCCTGTCCCTTTGAGGCGGACGGACGGGCGATACGTCTAACAATTGTTGGAGTAATATTGGAGTATAAAAAAAATTGAATCTAGTATGGACACAAATCAGATCCTTTTCCATCGCACACGTAAAATAATATTTCAACACAATATAAATGTCTAACAACGTTTTGATTCTTCGAAATATTTTTTAGTGCCAAATTTTGTTTTACTCGGAAATGTCTTCTCATTGGTTAAATTTACTACAAACCTCAAAATAAATCAATAATAAGAAATAAAAAACAGTTTCTCTACGACTAAACCTGTGGCAATAATGTGTGTCAATCCGTAAGGACAAAGACGGCCTCTCTCCCTCCGGCAGTTTCGAACGGCGAAGATAAATGACTCACAGTGAGTCCCGACGTCAGCTTATCAGGTAAAATCGAATCCTTGAAGGATTGGCTCCTTTACTGGGCCTTCAGGGAGTCACCGTCGCGTACTATTCACGGCAAGTTTAAGAGGATCTTACTATCCCTTTCCTCCAAAGTTTGAAGGAAAATTGGAGGAATCGTATCCTTGGTGACCTGGAGGGATTGGCTTTCCTCTCCTCTTTTACGACGTGGGTGTTACGGAACGTCGGCGTCCGTAAACTGAGGGTGTGTTGTCAGCCGGCAAGTGCCTGTGTTTGCTAAATACTTCCTCTTTAATATAGTACTTCTATGCCCGAAAAATAATTCGTAAAATTTTGCATAACAACACACAAAATAACAGAAAAAAAAAAATTGCAAGTAGATCAGTAATATTAGTTTTTCTCTTTATCCTTGCAATAAAAATGACTTTACTATATCTTTAAAATAAACTACAACACACACCCAACAAGCTGAAATTTTCTACAACTTACCACATAATCCGGATCCACAATTTCTGATTGCAAATAATAATAAAGTAAACACAAATAACAAGAAAAGGTAACAAGTACTGTTAGTATAAGCATAACCAACAAAAACAACACACACAACTACCCTTCAACAACACAAACACAATTCAACAAAAAGGTTAAGGTCGAAACCAGTACTTCTTATCAAAGAGACAACAAGTATTTCGTATTTCGTTGTCAATAAGTCTCGTGCCACGTCAGAGCACACAAAGCAAGAATAAAAAAAAGTAACAAACATCAGGCCGGACATACAATATTTACATCAAAGGTATCAAAGGGACGTTGTCTGCGTGTTTTACTGCAGGCGACCCGGAGTAGTATTTGTGCAGCCTATCACTATACACGTAAGCCTAAGAGATATAATCATGGGTCAGAGAGAGGATTTAGGAAACTTGAGGATAGGGTGATAGGGAATTGGGGGCACACAAGAACAACACAATATCCTTAACCTCTATCCCAATCTTGATACATCGACGAAAATTAAAAATGATAAGGNTTGCTAATTTTCAATAAAAGAAACAAATGTATTTGAGTTTGTGTTTTATTTGAGTTTGATGCATAAAAATACTGTACTGTATATGATGATTACTTTTACCATAGCAGGCCAGCTCGACCATTCGGTATAGGCTCATAAAAACAAAACTGTGTGGTCAGTAAAAAAAAAAAAAAAAAGTGTTTGTGATTATTTGTGGCCCATTTCATAAGAAAATGCAAAAAAAAAAAAATTCCATAGCTTTTTTCTTGGCACGGCAGTTAAAGGGTTAAAAGACTCTACACACTACCTGCTCCATGATGTCTTTGACTTTGTCCTGTTCACAGTCCAGGATCACCCTCCTCTCCTTTTTGTTCTCCAAGTCTTGGAACAGAGAGCGGTAGGCCTCATCCTTCCTCTCGTCTTTCAGGTTCCCCACGTTGATCGCTGTCACATGCCACTTCCTCTCTGCCGCTGTGTCCAGAACAACCTGCAGCGTCGTAAGTCCTGAGGGTAGAAATGAAGTAGGATTTAAACATTATTCATACTCTCTGTCTGACTGATTCTTCGTTATTATTCTTTGGTCCTGAAACATTTTGGAGAACATTCAAGTTTTTAGATATATCTTGTTGAGAAAAAAAAAAAAAATGTTGGGAACAAATACCTTGGGAATAGGGAGGAGAAGATATCATGCTTTGTGTTTCAAGTTATGCATTGAATTCCTGAATTCCCTGAAACCAGCTCTCCTACAGTATATTGTTTGTTTGTATTTCATTTTTGGTGAGTATACTCACAGCCACATACAGAATTTAAAGAACACAAAGCAGGGAAGTCAACAGAACAAAAACACCAAAGCTGGAAGCACAATAATATGAAAATAGACTTTCATTACAGACCATTCACTGTCTGCTCATTCAAATCCTGTGGAGGCTTTACAGAGACTCATTTGATCCAAAGCGCTCACCTAGATGAGTCACAGGTATTGTGGAATGAACCGGACCAACGTGTGGGAGGGAAGTGGCTGTAACAATACACTTGACAGCATGAATAGCGAAAGTTTGACATTGCTGTTTTAGGTTGGAAAAGAGTTTTTTTTGTGTTTTTCCTCTCAACTTTTGAAACAATTTAGTTTGTGAGAAAACAAACTGTACACAAGGTCACTGTTCACCGTCACACAGCCTTCAATTTCTCTCAGTTTTCTTGCAGTTGCCATGGATTCATACAAACCTTATACAAAGAGTATTTCCACCATGTATTGTTATTCTGAGAATGTTTTCTGTGTGCAAAGTCAAGGATGAGATCTCAAGCTCAATATATAGTCAGACATGGAGGAGAAATACTAAAAGAAAATGCGCACTTCAATGACAACTACTCTATAAAGCGAATGGTATGCTATGGCTGAAAGCTTTAGAACAAGCGAGTAAACATAATTGTTTCCAAAATTAAGAATGAACCCTCAGTTTAGTCAGAGACGATTCCCTTTGCCCCCCCTTCCCTTGGCCTTTAGGGAAGTCGGCGATAACTCATCCCTCAATGGCTTCCCACCAAGAACATATGAATGTGTTACGACTGGGGCACACAAAACTGATAGGACCCAAATGCACGACTCCAGACAAAAGATGATTCAATAAAAAGGTTTTTACTGAGGTGTTAAACAAGGTAAGCCATTCACAAGGTAAGCCATTCACAGGGTTCAAAACGATCTGGCACTGAGCACAGGGAACACACAGAATATATACAAAAGCAAGGGACTCCACAGGTGCAAACAATAAGGGCGGGGCAGATAATCAGGTCAGTGGGCAAACAGGCAAGGTAGGAGTCGAACTACCTGAAATGAGAAGGGAAATGACAAAGTAAAACAGGAAATGGCAGACACGGAATTTGACAATAAAGACTCACAGAGAAATAATACTAACAGATCTGCCGAGACACAACAGAATGTCTAGAAGGAGCGCAACTTACCCCTGTGCTCTATAGGAATGAATAATCTTTACATACAAATCAATTTTCACTTAGCTAAGGCTTTTATCCATGCAGGTACATTTGCTTAACATTTGCGCCAAACCTTTGTAAGTGTTGGTGCAAAAGTTTAAAATAAGCTAAAACAGCTCCATTTCACCATTTTGGAAACAGAATAGCTAACAGGAATATATTTGTTCCACCCAAAAACCAATAAACCCCCAAAACATTCAATTGAATTATAGAGTACAGTCAAGAGCAGACACATGCTGCCGTATGTGAGTAATTCAATTACATGTCACGCCTCTCCATCAATCTGAAGCGTAGTCTTTTAAAGGCATTTAAAGAATACAGTCTCCATTTCAACTCACATTCCTATCACCTCCTATCGAGTTTCGCAGCTGAATCTCTGCTGATATTGATCCCTGTTCTGCAGTGGGCAGAGGTTCGGATAAAAAAGGTGGAGTGTTTCATTCCGCCTTGCTACAGCGAGGTGAATTACAGATGTAATCAATTTCATGCGACACGGCCAGGTTTTATGATGATGGGGAGGAAAATGGAGGCTTGCAGTTTTATCTGAATGAACTATACATCTTATTACAATAAGGTCATTATGCTGTGGCTAAATGTGTCTGTTTCATCAATGTTTATTAAAGGAGATATTTAGAACTTGTAATGATTTACAGGGAAGATAAAGCAAGGACAAAAGCAAAATGTTAGCATAAAAGTTGATTCCGCATTAAAGTTAAATAAAAATCCTACATTATAGATGTCTTTGAAAGTGTTAGGGCCTTTGAACCGGGCATGCCACTGCATAATGTGGCTCTAATGGCACATTTCCACTGCAGCGGGGTAGCCCCGTTTAAGCGTCCCTAAGCGTCCTCGCTCAGGCCTCGGGCTGCCTCGCTGGCCGTCCAAGGCCGTGGCGCATTTCCATTACAGTTTAGGACCTGGGGTAGCAACGCAGTGTAGGCGGGGCGATCGGCTTTTTTTTGGCCAATGAGATGAAGGAACGTCGTCACCTCCTCGGTCTTTGACGTTGCCATTTTTGTAGCTCCTCCGTTTACAAAAATGCTGTGTATAAAAATGCTGCAAGCTTGCTTCTAGATATATATGCGACGCTAGGGATGATCTCGCGCGCGATCTTGTGAGGATTCTCTCTGACCAATCAGCAGTCGAGAGTGTTGACGTCACTAGTTCAGCCCTGGCCTGATAGAACCACGATTTTATGGGGCCGAAAAAAGAGGGAAAAAGTACCCGCTAGCCGGTGCTACGCTATATGGAAAGGCCACCAAAAACTGGCCTGGCCGCTTGAGGACGATTAAGGACGCTTAAGGATTATTAAGGACGCTTAAACGGGGCTACCCGCTGCAGTGGAAATGCGCCATACATGGTCAGTAAGTTGAAATATGTTTTTAAATNNNNATTAAACAAGCGAGTGCCTGTTTTTCCTGGCCAAGGTCAGGGTCCTTGAACACAACAGGAGCCGTGTCATCACGTGGTATATGTCTCGTCTGAAAGGGGTGCAGTGCTGACGGAGAGCACCAGAACGCGGCTCCGGGACTTCAGATAAGGAGTCGTACACATGCCTCAGTTTTTGCGTGGCTGTGTCTTTAGTTGTAAGCCCAGTGGCGATCTGTTCATATGTCATACTGATCACACAGTCAATAACCTTGTTGTTATTAGCATCTGGTTAGCTAGCTATGCTAACGAATATAAGAAGCTTTTTCAAAATCCAAAGTAGGTAAAGGCACATCTTTATATGANAAAAATAAGAGAATAAAGTAAACAGGTATAAAATACTATATGACAGAAAAAAAAAGTTGTTATTAATAAACAAGAATACAGTTTAAAAGGGGAGTGATTTGTAAAATATCCATAAAGAAAAAGAAAATCTGCTTACAGTTCTGTTTCATATGGGTGTTGAGAGATGTGTCCATAGATCTCTTCATTTTGCTCTCAAAGTGCACCAGATTCATGCTTTTAACTTCAACATTTAAAAAAAATTACTTCCCGGGGGAGCATGCCCCTGAACACATTTGCACACATCTTGTGTCCATATCTTTCTGTTGTGGTGGTCATGCCACAACCGTGCACGAGTCATGGTAAGATATCTGGATTAAGAGGTTGCTTTTTCTTTGCACAGCATGAAAGAAAGGCCAAATGAATGGGCTGTGATTTTAGTATTTTTAAGCAGAGGTCAATCATTTGTACGGCCCTCGGAGGATGTTGAAAAAATTGAAATGGCCTTTGAGAGGAAAAAGGTTCCCACCCCTGCTCTACGGG